ATCTATGTTGCCATTGATTATGGTTTTTACCCCTTCCCCCTTCGCTTTTAACTGGTCACCTCTCCTTCTTTGTCGTCTTGGCACATTTCTATTTTTTCAAAAAAAATTTTAAAATTTAAAAAAAATTTAAAAAAAAAAATTAAAAAAAATAAAAAAATAAAAAAAATAAAAAAAAAATTTACTCTCCCCTTTTACAAACTTTCACTAGGGTGCTTTTGATAAGCATGACTACGATATTATGGTGTATCGTATTTATTATATGAAGTCGGCTGTTTTCTCTTTCCTTTTTTTCATTTTAAAATAATCCCCCCTTGGCCACTTCATCCGTATTTTGTAATATAGATATTTTTTTTTAATTTCAATGATTTAATTCGTATATATGTATTTCGATAATGTTTTGAGGTGAAGTTTTTATATTTATTTTATAACCTTATTATATTCGTATGCATATTCTTTACTTTCACCTCAAATGAGTCTGTGACTCATTTTTTTTAACCTGAACTAAGCTTGCCACCTCTACGCGGTGTTCAGGAGAAACAGTTGTAGGTTATCCTATTTCTGGCTAAGAGCAAGCAAATACTTGTTAATTTATTAAACTTCCATATCATATGTTTTAATAAATTAATTTTTTTTTATAATAAAATTGAATGATAATAAAAAGTTGTTTTAAAAACTTATCGTAAAATGTCTAAAAATCGATGGAGATTCCTAACATGCACGTTGAGTGTCTAAAAAGTAAAAGTGCATCATATCATCATATCAAACCACACTAATATTTCATTTATCAACATTGGTTGGCTTCGTAAATCTTAATTTTTTTTTACCGATTTTACCCTAAATTGTTACTTGATTTGGCGTACAATGCATATTTAGATTTTGTAAAAAAAAACTAGTGCGAGCTTTTTTTTGTATTATCATTGACCTATTGAATAATTCTATATCGTACAGTATATTAGCGATATAGAAAAGCTTAAAGCTCACTCGAAAAGGATGATATACTGTTAAATTAAAAAAAATATTCTGTAATAAAAATTTGCAAAATAGTTAGCCAAGAAACTAATCCAGCAAGTGGAATTAAAAAAAACAAGGATATGTGTAGTATATTGTGTATGACTAGTTAGCTTTAATCTTCACATCCACTGTTATCATGTTTTCTACGACTATCCGGTGATGCGGTTTCGAACGGAGTCGTCTTTCCTGATGAATAGCCAATTTTATGATTATGTTTACTTTGCATTACGATTACATTAAACAGACGGGAAAATTATTTTATTAATGTTTAACTGTTCTATAAAAATAAGCTTCCTCTTTTTTTTATAAACATTGATATTTATTATGAAATTAAAACATTAAAAATATTTCTTGTAATATGCGTATAGCATATAGCTTGATTATTATCTAATATTTTAAAAAAATCGAAATTAAGATAAATGGGTATTTTTTCAAGATGATGAACTGGGAATCCCATTATCTAAAAAATTTTAAATCATTAAAATCCTCTTTACATTTTAATAACTTGAGGAAAAATTGATATATAAGTTATTATTATTCAGAAAATGTTATGTCCGGAATTTTTAAACACTAATTTTCAGAACTTGATTTTTCTATAAATGGATAAATTAATTTAATTAATTTTTTACAAAAACGTGAAATTGACATTAAAAGCCTCTCATCACTTTTCAGAGTATATATATACTAAAGTATTTTGGTATTTTTTTATGTGATTTTTTAATCAAAAACTTTGGATAGACAAATTCCGGATATCGTTATATCCGAAATTTGTCCGTCCGGAACTTTTAAGGGAGGGATATATATTTTGTTCTTTGCATAAATTAATATGGACCTAATTGTTGAAGAACAACGTTTATACCCTAATCAATTTAAAAATGTTTATAATTATACTTGCATATTCTTATTTATTAGTTAATAAAAAGTAACATACGCATATTATAATAAAATGAAAAATTGACATAAAAATATCGATCTTAATATATTCTGATCAATAAAAATTAATTATAAAAGTATGTAACTTTACAAATTAACCGTGTGAACCATATAAAATTCTAAAAATTGATATTTACAAAAAGTGAACTTTAAAAATTTGACCTAATTTTAAATTACAAATTCAGCAATTTCAAATTTAACCTATCAAAAAATTAATTTAACTTTGGATAATTGTTCCCAATTGCGCCTAACTTCGAAATTTACGATCGAATTCAGTCGTTTCTAGCTAAGGCAATCATAGATGAATTTCCTTAGTATTTCCTAATTTCTTAATAAAATTCTTATTTCATTTTCTTCGTTAGAATCTTTGCAAATCGATCGACATTCGCAAAAACAATAACTGAATTATACCTAAAATTTTAGACCCGAATTAGGAAGTAGCAAAAAAACTTCTTGGAATCGAGGTTTACTATCAGGTATTTCATACATTTTTATATATTGATTAGTTTTTTTTTCTTTTGTTTACGAAATATCAAATCCTGAATTGTTATTTTTTTTTCTTATTATTGATTAATGATGAGCAACACAAAAATTGTCATTCATTTAGTTGTAATACACAGTAGTTTTAAAGCTTGAAGGTTAACCAAATTCATTATTTTATAGGCCCGACTAAAGGAGATTTTAATTTTTATTTTTTATTTTTCCAATAACAAAGTGATCAATTGTGGAGATCGATAAGATTATTGCCAAAAAGCATATTTCCTTCCAGGCCAGGCTGGAATTACATGCCTAAAAAAAGTAATAAAGATCTAAACTTTATAAAAAGGGGTTTAAATAAAATATTTCTAATTAATTCTTATAATAATATTTTGTTATTTAAAAACATCTAAATCTGTTTCTAGATTTACACATACTTGTTTGTATTTTTAAGCTCCTACTTAATTAGAGTAGCCGTAAATTTTGCTTCATTTCACATAATAAGTTGTGCGCCCTTCGAAAATCTTGGAAAGATATATTTCAATTAAATGAAATGAACTAATTTGTACTACATTTGATTTCAATTTTTATTGATTTGCAAATCGACATTTTTTCGAAAACGGTTTAGACCAAATCATTTTTGTGTCACTGATTTTGGTTCAAAACCTTTCTGTCCAAATATTTTTGTTTTTAAAAAATTACTTGTTACTTGAAATGATAGATTCAATAATTATAATATTTTGTTTTCTACTTGTTATTCATCCTATATCCTGTCAATTAATACAAGAACGCTATGATGCTACAAGTATAATTAAAGACAATATATTATATGTCCTTGGAGGACAGAATGATAAAGCGATACCAGAAATATTATCTCTCAATCTTACCACTTCAATAGCCATAGATTCACCACCATGGTCTCGGTCACTGAAAGCACCACCTTTGGCATTTGTATCAAGCGGAGCAATCCTTGGCGGTTTAAATAATAATTTGATATATGTACTTTGTGGTCTGATGAGTGACCCGGTTAGTGGTGTCAATATAACTAACGAACAAACTCTATTGGAATACGATATTCAAAAAGATGAATGGAACGCAACGGCAATGTCAGGAGCTCCCCAGTTAAATGGGAGAGTTAAATTTGGCCTTTTAAGTGATAATAAAGGAATGGCTTACCTTCATGGTGGATATAATTATTATAATTACACCTATCTTGGTGATACGTATTTATTTGACAACTATTTTAACAGTTGGACTGCGTTACCGGTGCCTATAATTCCAATAATTGCAGATGACTTTGCTGCTGTATTGTTAAATGATGGAAGATTGGTCATCATTGGAGGTTATGAAAATAATGTCCCCACACATAGACCTATTAGCCAAGTAAGTCACTAGAAAGGAATTCATATAACATTGAAATTTACTAATTATTAAAGTATCTAGCTTGAAATACTTAATACGATCGATGATAATTGGAGTCGACAAATTGTACTTCAACCAAAAGAAATGACCGACCATCGTAGATATCATACATCTACGCTTCGTAAGTAAATTATTATTACGTATTCCATTTATCATTCTTATTACCCTCATTGACTTGCTACTATCTAGTTCCAAATGGTGATATTGTAATAATCGGAGGAGTCAATGTAGTACCCAATGTTGTAATATTAGAAACAACAAAAAACCAATGGAGAATTCCTTTAGTTTCTGGAATGGAACCACCACTGCTTAATCGACACTGCGCAGAACTTGTAGAAAATAGATACATATTCATTATGTTTGGTATGTCTAGTATATTTTTTTTTTATTTTTAAAAAGATAATACGATTTATTTTGAACTTAGGAATAAGAACTGATGGCCAATATAGCAACAAACTCTTCATACTCGATACAACAAATTATTCATGGATTACTAATTTTACTCCAAATGCATTATCTGCATCAACGCCAAAACCGACTTTATCGCCATCACATACACAATCGACCGTATCGGGCTCTATAAAGGCACTTAATATATCCATAACTGTTATAATTATCATAGTGGCATTAGTTTTCTCTATTGCTTTAATTGGATCATTTGTGTTTTGTTATAAGAAACGTAAAAATAGATTGGCTTCTGTTACCACACAAGCCGAGAATTACTCTATGAGTAAAAATGACGATTCGCATGGAAACAATACAAATATAATTGTATATTCAAATGAAGGAAGTCATAATACTATAGATCGAATGTTTCGGATTTTTAGACGTTCGAGTAAGTCGTGAACTTACTTTTCTAAAATGCAAAGCTATGTTTATAAATTTATTCGTGATTTATCTGACTTGTTGTAAATGGTTTAAAATCATCATGTTTTTTTTAATAAACTGATAAATAAATTACCTTGATCCGTTTATTTTGTTTGATTGATGTGAATTTGTGTCAATTTTGCAGATATAATTTATATAATTTATAAGACATTTGGGCAAACATCCTTCGCATCTTCACCATTTTTTTTAAAAAGAAAACCATATAATTTATTAGTCGGTTTCTTTATATCCACGACATCTTAACGAGGACTTCTGCATATGAGGCAAGTTTATTGAGTTTATACTTGCTTCGGCGAAGCTTTGGCGAATCCCGCGTATTAACGAGGATTTGTTTACATTCCGAAAATGATTATTCTTTATGAGCGTCTATTTCGAAGGAATCAATTAATTATGGTAAGTTCATACCCAGTCTTAAACGAGTTCGTACCATGTTTACATTTATTGCGTCAATCATACCCAATTTGTAATAAGTACTCTATAGAGTTTACGAACCTGTAAAGAATAATGCGTCACTGAATACTTAGAGTTTTGGCCCTTCTCTAATCAATCAAAAAAATTTTTTTTGTATTATAAGCATTTAACTCCCAAATCTTCTAAAGAAATATCTGCATATACGAAATCTCACAGTCTTATCCTTTTATTAAAGATTTATTCCCATTATCGAAATGAAAATAAGAACGAATTTAATACAAGAAATCTATAGAATTAACTTAATAAGAGATTTTGAAATTGAAATCATTGAAGTAATAAATTATAGTAATAGTTTCCTATTGTTCTTTTTAAAGTCTCTCATAATCTCAAGGTGCCAATAATTCGTATAAATTTGAGTATATTTTGAACTGTAAACCGAATCACAGAAATAGCATTTATTTTTTTTTAAAAAAAAAAAATAATAATAAAAATAATCATTAACACACTACATTTCGATAGTAAATGACATTACAAAATTTCAAATACAAATTCGAAATTATTGTTAAGAAGGAAAAAAGGTTTGAAAATTTATTATAAAATGTTTTATATTTTCAAATGTTTATGAAAAATATGTGTTTTTAACTTAAAAAATTACATTTTTTATAGTGTAAATTTAATGCAAAAAATGATTTACGTCAAAATGCATTGATCTGCAAACCAAGCGAATCGAATCTTATGCATTATCAAACAATGGATTACAATCAATTATTTAATACTTTCATGTGTCAGAATAATTTTGTTTTGGAAGATTGAAACCTTCTTATCAGCATCATTTATATATCGGATATCTGTATTTATTATATGTAATGAAAATATTGTATACATAATGTCAGGTTGATCCTCTTAGCCGTTAAGATAATAGTTTATTAATTGTTTTCCTAAAAAACAAAAGAACAAACATTAATAAATATTTTACTAAAATTCTTGTGTAAAAAAAAAAAATCCTCCACCCACCTTATCACATATTTGAAGTACTGAAGGCGTTTCACTAAAAAAAAAAGAACATTTATGTGTGTTTCATTATCAGAAAATCTAGATATCTGCACTTTATATGACTCAACAATTGAAAATTCTATTTTTAGATTTACTTAAACAAAATTTCAAGGCTCGATAACTTTCTGTTTTATTATCATAATATGGGATCGTTTCCAGTAAAATCACATTACGGACCATATGATTTACTATGTCTCAAGACTTGATTTTACTGGAAATGTTTCCATAAAAATCTCATTTTTGGTCAAAAATGTCCGGAGCTTGATTTTCTCAGCAACACTCATTTTTATATATATACATATACTATTGTAAATGTAATATAAATAATTGTATAACTATGATCATCAAAGGGGGGGCTGTAAAATTTTTCAGTATCCAATAAAAAGCAAAATTTTTTTGAAAATAATATGTCTAATCAGTCACTCGAAGAAGTTGAAGCTTTGAGTCCATCTGATTTTATTAATTATTTAAACTCCAAGAAAATTGCGTTGTTTCTTCATGACGATCATATTAATGCTTTTGCAAGACAAGAGGTCGCCAGTTCGGATTTTCTAAAGTTGGCTAATTACAACTTTAATACTGGACCAGCAAATAAAATTGTGAGTCTCATCTCTCAGTTGGATAGCAAAAGTAGGTTCTATTATAAATAGTTTAATATTTGTATGCTCTATTTTGCTTGACTTTATGTCCGTTGCTTCATTCTGTCTGTGCTTTCTTATTCATACTTACACGGTTATTGGGAGTATAAACTATTTTCTCTTATACATATTTTTAATACTCATAGGTAAAAATCGAAAGCGCAAATTACCAGAAACTGAAGAAGGTATGATGATAAAAATACTGAACTTTTTCCACGTTTTATGATATTTTTTTTCCAATAATTGCATCAAATAATTTAATTAATTTAGCGCAAATAAACGTATCGAAGAAAAAACAAAAAGATTTATCATATGAAATTGTTCAAGAGATTTGCAAACCATTTGAAAGGATTTCTTTAATAAAAGAACTTATGGAGATTCTTATGACACCATGGCCAAGTCTATTCCTATTGAAAGTAATTATATAACACATTTTGAATGGAACAGAACTGTTGTAAATTACTTCATAATAGATAAGAATAAATTGAATGACAGATATCTTACTGCAACAGGGATTTCTCATCTATTGAAAATGCTTTGCGATACACAATAAGTTTTGGAGGTGAAATTAATCTGTCTAGTTTGATCAATTGCATTATACAATATCCCTTGAAGACTTTAGTGATGTTCACGGTCTCAATAGCTCGAAATATCTCTGATAATCTTTTCATAACAACGGTAAAGAATTTGAGACCAGATTTTCTAGTTTGGTTAAATAGAAAGATTTTGATTTTTAAAGGAGAGGATAAAAGGTACTATGAAGAATTCGTGTTAACAAAGAATGAGCTTACTTCAAAAATGAGGAGTTAGAGTGTTTTATCTTATGGTAGAGTTCCATATATCTTTGCGTATGCAGCTGTAGGAAACTCCCTCAAATTTTATGCCATTAATCAAGATTGGGAATTGAGATCAGTTTCTCGTCTATTTGATCTATCTATCCAAAAGGATAGGCTTTTTGCAATTGTTATTACTGTTAATATTTATCATATCAGACTATTCCATAAAACTATATGATGAACTTTCTCGTTCTCATAACACAACCATTTCTATATTATATGACTGTGTTGCCAAAATTATTAGCAAATATGAATGACAACTTTTTCATAATGAAAAATTTTTATAAGGATACAGCTCATGTTGCAAATCTCATACATACACGTGATTTAAATGATCGACCAAGTTATCCGACTTTACGAGGAGACAGGTATAGAGTAATTCTATCACCTCTTGGATATTGTTATGAACCTCAAAATGAAAGTGAACTCAAAGATGTCATCAAGACAGT